TTCAACTTTTTTTTCAAAAAAAATCGGGAATCACTTCCCAAATCTTTGAATAATAAAAGTATAAATATTATTTAAAATACTTGAAATGTCTGAAAAATGGGTTTCATTTAACTTGAGGTATATTGTCTCAGGAACACTTAACTCACTTTTATTACATATGGCAGTAACTACATTCAGGCAAATGCCTCATGTAGGAAATTTCAAAACCAAAAGCTTGTCTTCATATCAAATTGTTTTCACGGCAAGTGTCTTGCAAGAAGCAAGTTCTGTTCTCCCTCAGACGTAGCTCCTGTTTTTTGAGGATCAATGTTTCTTATTTATTTGTCTTTTGTTCATTGATTGCCCTTCTGTATTCTGTTGGTGTTGCATTCCTTTTGTAATTTAGTAATTTTGTTATTAACTTGATCAAGAGTTTAAAAAAAAACAGCAGCCACATACTTAACTATGTGAATTAAATTTTTGCTTTATCTTTGTCTTTTGATGTTGTTCCTAAAAACTCCTAAAAAAGTCTTACACTGAATCTATACATGTTGCTTTGAGACCAAAGTATTGTCAAAAAATGATTAAAACAGAACTTTCATTTTCAGATTAAGAAAGGGTATGGGAAACACATTTTGCATCATTAGTTCTATAGCAACTTGGGGCCTTCAGCGGCTCCAAAACCCTTCAAATTTTTTTTAGCCTCGCTCCGCTCGGCATAAATGATTTGCAATACTTTTAAAAGACACTTATTACAGCCAAACTTTAATATCTTGTATGTATGCAATACATGTATATGCAGTTGGGAATTCAGAAGATTCATTTCTACAGATGATGATGATTAATTCTGATTAAATGGTACATAATGATTGGACTACTCATGTATTATTTATAATAAAAAATGAATTTAAAAATTGTATGTTTTCAAATATTATAAATATAGTGGTGAAAATAAATAATCAGTCCCTTGCTTTAATGAAAATGAAAAATCTTGCTTCAACAGTGCAGAAAATAGATAATCTGTCCTCTTAGTTTACAAAAATAAATAACCGATCAAAAACAAATCCTCCTGCCCCCCCCCCCCCCCCCCCCCAGAATATCAAATGGTCGTCCCCTTACATCACTCTTTATAATTTATCACTTTCTAGGGTTTCATTAATAAATAATCCTTATAGATTATATTATAGTAATGTTATCAGATATTATTGCAAGTAGATACAAAATATTGAAACTCTACCATCGGTGTTGAACATATTTTGTCATAAATTATGAATTCTTCAATATTGAAAAAAGATTCAATAACAGGTATTGATAATTGCGACAATTTCAAGACATTTCACTTTTCTCAGTATATACATTACTATTTAAGATCGTTTACATTGTCTGATTACACAGTGTTTCTTCTACAAGAGTATGAATGTTACAAGTTTCTTGTTTCAAAGCGAGAAAATATGAGTGTATTATGAACTACAGTGATGCTAACAAGAAACGTATGAATTATCAACATGCTAGACTTTATTATCGGTCGCCCTACTGTCTGTAACACTTTGCTCAGCTCTGACCCGGACATATCACGGACGTCATAATGAATGAACCGACGTTAATAAGTTTGACCCGAACTTACCAAGTCATCTTCCGGTTTGCTGGTGAAACAAAGAAAACACCTGTTTCTATAGAAAATATATTTAAGTTATAGATAATATATTTAAGATATGATAATGTATTAATTGTTTCGACACAATATGAAGCCTTTTGAACTCGTTCGCTGTGCTCACTCGACAAAAGGTTTCATATTGTGACTCGCAGCTGATATTTTACAATATCAATATACTGTACAGACAACCTAATAATTGGTACTTATCGACAACATAGTTATCGATCTATAATTTCAATTTTATAAATATTGATGATGTCATACTTACCACTTTTTTTCGGTTAGTACTTTCATCCCAGTATCACTGTGAACGTGCATTTAAGAAAACTAATGCGACAAAAAGTTCTGCTTTATTTGTAGAAATTTTCCCTTGAAATTGATGCAAATTTATAACGGAAAACTACGAAATGAGTTCAGTTTAACTATTGTCAACTTTCCATCTTTTAGCAGAAAAGTACCATCACCTCAAGCCTATGTTGATTACGTATATTTGGTATTTTTTGGATTTTACAAATAGATGAATATTCAACTTAAAAAAAAACCTTAAATTTCCACCAGAATAGGCGATAATAGTGTGGATATTAGACTAAGATTTTAAAACTCATTTGACGTCATGCGTTAACGTATACGTATGACGGAAGTGATAATATGTTGCTTTTTATTTTTGATGACCCATGTTTAAGTATTAGACAGACGATATTAAAGACTAAGCGCTAGCTGTTGTAAGAATTGTATAATATAACAAATTTTCGTTGCATGGTCGAAAAAGACATGCATTATTAACGCCGCCGTCATTTGTGCTAAATATTGGTTGGACTGTTGGCTATTTGTCTGTACGGTATATATTTTCAGTTTCCAACACAAGAAATGAAAATATTATAACCATTTTTCTTACTACGTACATAATAAGTAGTAGTATCTTTACTCAGATTTTTTTTTCGGATCGAGCAGCCGTTTTCACTTCCGGTTTTTTTTTGGGGGGGGGGGGGGGGGGGAGAGGGGGGATTCGTGTAACTTTTTGTTCTGAATGCTTGTGATGAAAGAAGATAGGTTAAAACCATGTGTAATCCACCATTTCTACCTAAGGAAATGCCTGTCATGAATATGACAGTTGTTTTTCATTCGTTTGATGTGTTTGAGCTTTTGATTTTGCCATATGATAAGAGACTTTCCGATTTGAATTTTCCTTGGAGTTCGGTATTTTTGTTATTTTACTTTTTAATAATCCCTATTGGTTATAGTCATTGTAGACCCCCTTTCTTTGAATTAAAAAAAAACTTTTAATTATCAATGTGTAATGCTGTTTCTGAAGTTCAAAAGGAATTATAATGCATCACCGAAAAAATAAATTGTCTTGTCTTAGTGTAAACATATTTTATTAATTAAATTCAAGTTGAATAATGTACACAAGACCGGCCGGTCGGTCTTTTCTAGAAACTTGTTGAAACCTAAAAAGTAGAATTTGAATTTAAAGAGTTTAAATATTACTTACATTTTATTATTTTTTTTATAAATTTACATTAGTTTTATCTGGGACTATTAATAGTCCCAGGTTGTATCCATAAAATCAAAATGTTATTCAGTGTCACACATTGCTGTTGAGGACAATTTTGACTCCATTTTGAAAATGTTAGATAATTTTGTAAAATATTTCACCAAGAACATTATAAAAAAAGAGTTATTTTGTATCTGAAAGACAACAGACAAACATTTACTTCTAATAGATTTTTGGTTTGATTAAGAATGTCCTTCCTTACACATTATTTTAATAAATATTCTCAGCTTACCACAACTTATCAAATTTGCAGTTTTGAGCCACCTCTGACAGGTGTTAAGACATTTCATACATGGTCAAACGTTCAGAAAAACGTCATCATCATGATAATGTTGTCAGAATCAGAAAACAAATACATGAAACTGTGATACTGTGAATTTTAAACAGAGACGAAATATCTTTCAAAATTGTCAAAGTGTAAAATAAAATCAGCGGAAATTGATTTTGACTCTTATTGCATATCAGCCAAAAAACTTTTAGTTGACTTTCGTTCGAGAAATACTGCTGTAACTGTTGTAATGGGGAAAAGTGCCGGAAACTGTTATAATGAGTAACAAGTGCTGTAACTCTTAACCAACAAGTGCTGTAACTCTTAACCAACAAGTGCTGTACAGGTGGCACGGTAGTATTTCCTTGCCCATAAGGGAGAATGATAGCCTTTTATAATTTTCACCACTTTCTAACACTGCAAAAAATTCTACATTCACAGTTAACTGAAGTACTTTCATTTTACTATTCAGAAATGAATTTGAATGTGTATCATGACCGTTTACTTTTTTTGCTATTTTTAAAAATCTAAGGCCACTAGTGCTTTTAGGTCTTTTATCGTGCAGTGAATACAAAATTTAAAAAAAATCTCAAAAATTCATTTTCATCTGTATGTAAAATTATTTCATATTTTTCTACACCTGATTCATCCCTCAGTTTGGGAAAGTATGTTCAGTTGATGCGGTATTTTTTGTCCAATCACACTGTTCAGATACATTGACTTAGGTAGGGTACACAAGAGAGCAACCTAAATACTGGAATGCAAATACTACCGTGCTACCTACACAGTAACTCTTTACCGGTGACTATCATGTTGTCAAAAACTAAATCTATTTCTTTATTAAATGGCTCATGTCATCATTCCAAGACTTCCATATGATTTATCTATGATGGACAATAAAGTATCATTCCAGTGTACACTGCTCTTCCCGCTATGTCTGGAGATGACTTGGTCTGTGTCAATTAATTCCCATCATTGTACTTTATCACCATGTTGGTGTTGTCCAATTTCTGCTTACATTATATATGCACACATACTCTTATACACTAAGTATTTTCTACATGTATACATTCGTCTAAAAACAGAAAAAATATTGCTTTGCCGAATTACAATTTATCTTTTATATTTTTCTTTTAAGTCTTGTTATCAATTGATATTTTTCAAATTGCTTTTAATTAAACGCTAACACCGTTATCGTCATGGAAGTTTGAGTTCCAATTCAATTTGTTTACATACTGATTCAATACATTAAGATTTTCTTGTTTCATGGAATATTTCAGCGTGTAAGGCATCATAATCAATAAATGTTCATTGATCTAGTGATGTATGTTTAAATTGCATGTTACAATTTGTTTTCCTTGTCGTCTGCCAACGAAACATATTAATGGAAAAAAATCTAAACCTCATTTATATAATTTCATATTTGGTTATGTAAATAACAATTAAGTAAAAACAACATCGTTACCCATTAGAACTTATGTGTCCTATAAATATGTCTAATTATGCTTAATTTGAATTAATTATTTAAGTTATAATTATCTGTTGCTGTTCAGTTTCTTTTCAAAAGTACGCATGTGCAGAGCCGCTGTCCTCTTAGAATAACTAGACTTACGTCAAAGACTATCGCACGAAGATTTGTCTAAGAATCGATTGCCATTATTAAACATACGGATGCTGTAAAACTACCTAAATTGTTGTTTAGAATGGACAAGAAATAATGTAGAAATTAAGCTGTAAATTGGAAATTTAAAAAGTAAAAATGGTGAAAACATCTCATCATATCCACGAAAAGCACCAAGACAGTAAGTATTATTAATACATCAATTATTATTTCATCTTTTTATAAACATAAAAAAATAGTTTGGTTATTGCAGTATTTTAATTCATGTAAGCACCGTTTTTATTTAATATCTTTTTGAGCATTGTAAGATTATTAACTAAATGATATACCCTTTTTAACTAGATAAGAGTGGTTTTGTACATTTGTACCATACTGACATAAAATAAACATTGTTTTATAGATAATTATATTTTTTTTATTTATTTAAGGAATTACTGTAATATTTTTTCTGTCTATGAAGAAATAACATCAAAAATGTTGTGCACACTGAATAACCCGCGTAGTGGGTTATCGAAAATTGTGCACCACATTTTTTAGGTTATTTCGAATAGACAGAAAAAAATATTACAGTCATTCCTTATAATTCAATTTTAAATTCCATTTCTAAGGAGAAAATCATGAAAAAACGTTGATGACGTCACGGTCACATGACAAAATTGTGTCTTTGAGTTGATACACAAAAACTTATTTATTATTATACGTAATATGAGATAACACTTCTTTCTCAACAGATACTTCAGCATGTACATTTTGTTAGATTTTTACAATCAGTAACTTCATATTTTCCGGGTCTTCTTTCTTATTTAGAAAAATATAATCAGGATCATTTTTGACTGTTGCTAACAAAATGAAAGTGCTTTCCGTTTGCATGCTAACAAGTCCTCTGGTTTTCAAAAGTCCCTGAATAAGATTAAAAGAGCAATATTAGTTTAAATTCTCTGAGGATTTTACATGTAACTATTGGTAACTTTTCATTTTCCTAATCTTCTTTCCTAGTAAGGCATATATAATCTTAATCGATTTTGACTGTTTTGCAGAAGTGCTTTCCGTTTTCACGATCCGAGCTGATTGTCAAGTTATTTTGTTTTTGTTTCCCCAAGGTACCCGCCTAACAAAGCAAAATGCATTTTTATTTTACGCTATTTTTACTTCAGTTGATAAAATACGTGAAACATTTATTTTTAAATATTTTAGAATGAGAGATTAGTAATTAGAAGCTATTAAATATGAACGTTAAATTGAAAATGCATTAACTATTAATGATTGCAGTTGTTATAGGCTAAGGTTACCAACGTCCCTTTAAATATTTACATTTCATTTCTATTGAGATCTCATATTAATAGAAATCCGCCATTAGGCATATGATTACACGCAAGATCTCGTTGTAGTTTGTTATTATATATTCCGTTTTAAAAACATTAAGGGAATAGGTATTACGTCAAAAATCAGATATTAGAAAAAATAAATGTATAGAAATAAAGAATATGGGAAGAATGTGGATGACACATTTAACAACAATAAAAATACAAATGATACAGTTCCATTACGGTTCAGACTGTGTGGTGTTTCTGTTTTATTCTTATTCAAATTTTCTGTTCTATGGTCTATGGTCGTTTTTACAATAATAATGATATATACCTATATCAGTAATAGACTGTATATTATCAGTAATTACAGCTGTTTAGTATGGGAAAAGTAGTCTGTAAGAATTCTACAGTAGTAGGATATTAAAAAAAGTTTGCGCGTTTTAATTTATTTGCATTACACAGTGACTTGACTGTAAGTGTTGCTCTCCACCTATTGCAGTTTATTAAAAATTCTGACCAAATTGCAATTTGTTTTATCAACCAGTCCAAACTATTCAACTGGTCAGAAATTTTAACAAACTACTGTAGAAAACCACAGTCAAGTTGTGAAAGTGCAAGGTGATAAAATAAAGCATACTTACAATCCTATAATACTTCACTTCCACTTCATTGATATTATTATGAAAATGTTTATAAGAATTTGTATACATTCTTTTATTGTTATTGTCATACCAAAGGTGATAGGTAGTAATTTTCAAAATGCTATAAAAGTGTCTAAACTCAGCTTTCATACAATTTTTCTTTTAAAAAATCTTCTAAATTCATAAGAATAAGACATCAGTTTGAATTAAACCATGTTATATTCAGTAAAATATATGTGAAATTACAATACATTGTTAATAAGTTTGCATGGAAGATAACCTAAAATCATTGATCATTTTAAATATTGATCTTATCTCCCTTTAAAACATATTTAAGCTTAAAGTACATTTCACGAAGTATATAAGAGATTAATTGAAAGAATGCTTTGTAGCATGCATAGAAAAACATCATTTTAGTAGAAATAATTCAAAAACTTAAATTTAGACATTATTTTAGCAGTTCAAAAATTACTACCTATCATAAATGACAATAACAATCAAAGAATGTATAGAAATTCTTATAAACAATTTCATACAATACAATGAAGTGGATTAAAGTCTATTGGGATTGTAAGTATGCTTTATTTTATCACCTTGCACTTTCGCGACTTGACTGTGGTTTTCTACAGCAGTTTGTTACAATTTCTGACCAGTTGAACAACGGTTTGGTTTGATAAAACAAATTGCAATTTGGTCAGAATTTTGAATAAACTGCAATATGTGGACAGTAACACTTACAGTCAAGTCACAGTAAGAAAATTGAGAAAAGTCACTGTAGCGATCCGACTGTGAATGACGTATCGGAACAAATACTGAAAACGTTATAATGACACGTTTTATCTGTTACAAATTAGATGACATACTAACAACCTGTCATCAGTATCAAAGCGTACACGGAGGCTTAATTGGTGAAATAAAGATCGTTAAAAGCGGCGTATGTTTTATATATCGTGACAAGAAAATATCTTTTGGTCACTAATGACCATAGCTGATATATTAAAAAAATAATTCAACACTACCGACCAGCATCTCATATTTCACTAAAGGGTTTTATGGTATTAATTTAGACATCTTATTCGATATAATACTCCAATATCCCTGGCGGTTAAGAAATCAATGTACAATTAACTTTGTCTTAAACTGCAATTAACTTTGCCTTAAACTTTACAGTCAGTTCCTATCCACGTAGATCCGGAACCATGGGAAGACTCAGGTGGATTTTATAACGGAAAAGATCGATGTCGTTTTCTGAGAAATATCAACTTATTGATTTTAATGTAAAATCAATAATGCAGTCTCTTCGTTACATTTGTACATCAAATGCATATCCTCTATTCCAGTTGAGAAATCAAAAGCCATTTATCTGATAAAAACGTCAAGTCAATCAATTTTCAGTTTTACGTCTTTATAACACAAGTAGATGAAAATTGAATGAAAGTTTTACCGGTAATCGTGATATCAAGTCCTTGTCCATAATTGGTGTAGACATTAAATTTTTCTATAAATGAGTATACTAGTGCTCATATAAACGAATAATATAATCAACACTTATTGGGAGACTAGATATGTCGTAAATCATTTTGCGGATGCGTTGATTGTCTGATATTTTCGTTTGTTTCACAGTCGTGGGAGTAATCATAATGACATTCCTACACATGTTGAATGCTTATAACAGATCTGCTTTGAATGAACCAAATATATTCAACAGTAGACTTTGTGTCACATTTCTTAACAATGAGTCCAAAATGCTATTGAAAGTCAAACAACTTACAATCTTACATTTTTCCTGGTTTAATTTTACTAATCAATAGTTATTGTTTCATGCAATAATAATTTAAAAACACGAAGTGTCTCTTCGTCCTGAACATGTAATAAACATAAGCCATGGATGTTAAGCAACCAACTAATTATTTGAATCTGCAGAATCCTTTTCCAGTGACAAAACGTGATTAGCAGAGAGGGCCGCGTTGTTTGTATTTTTTTATCAGCTAATACATACAAAAACACGACTGCGCAATATTAGATTTATGGATAAACCGTATTAGAAATGGTGTAAAAAAATAAAACAGACTATTCGATTTGTTTAAAAATCTGTCCTTTTCCAGATTTACAACTAACCATGACAACATTGAATCCTTGTTTACGTCTTGTTTTTGTAGCTCTGTCATTTTGTCTTGGATATGTAAAAGGATTTGAACAATTTGCAATTCAAACTACATGTATTGATTAAACTTGGTTTTAAAACCTGTCAAAGGGACAATTTGACATGGACAATTTATTGAAAGTTAATTTATAAAGTTTAAAAATAAGCGCTTAGTAATGAGAAGCTATTAAATATGAACGTTAAATTGAAAATACATTAAATATTAATGATGGCAGTTGTTATCAAAGTACCCTCAAATATTTACATTTCATTTCTACTGAGATCTCTTATTAATAGAACACCGCAATTAGGCATATGATTACACTCAATATCTCGTTGTTTTTTGTTATTGTATATTCCGTGATAAGTAAACATAAAGGGAAAGATTTCGTCAAAAATCAGACATTGGAAAAAATAAATGTATCGTATAAAAGATATGAGAAGAATGTGGATGACAAATTTAGCCACAAAATAAAAATAAAAAGAGTACACAAATAGCCACAAAAATACAAATGCTACAGTTCCATTAAAGAAGATAAAGGGTTGTTTGTTTTATTCTTCTTATTATTTGTTCTGTTCTACAATGCGGTTCTTTTTACCATATAATGATGTAAATAAAATCAGTTATATATCTCGAGTAATTAACCTATCAAATTATATCAAATTGTAAGTTGCTGTGTGGTATGGGAAAGAAGTCTGTAAGCAGTTTAGAGTAGTAGGGAATTGAAAATGATCTTGCGTTTCTATTTATTAGCATTTATGATAAAAAATTGGGAGAAGTCACTAGAGCGAACTTACACCGAATGACTTATTTCTGCAAAAGAAGTGCAGTTTCTTTTCATTATTCCTGTTTCAGAATCATGTGATTAATACAGACATAAATTCCGAACAAATACTGAAAACGTAATAATGACACATTTTATCTGTTCAAATTAGATTACATACTTACAACGTGTCATCAGTGTCAAAGTGTGCACGCAGGCTAAATGGGTGAAATAAACATCGTTAAATGCGGCGTATGTTTTATATCTTGACAAGAAAATAACTGTGGTCACTATAATGACCATAGCTGATTAAAAAAAAAATATCT